TCTGCCCATCCGCCCGCATCTTCAGAAGGGACCAGTAGGGACAGGGCCTCCATAGCGCAGAAGTGCCTGAGATGGTTCTGGAAATGCCCTCGCTGTTCTCCTTCTGCTAAGGCCACCGGGTCCTTTCCGTCCTGTCATCCTACACAGGGTCCTTGCTGGGACCCCATCAAAGAGCCTCAATTCAGCAGTTGAGCTGGAGGCCTGGGCTCATGCTCAGAGTCTCCCTGGCCTGTCCAGACCATCACTGGCCAAACGCTGGGCGGATGACACTGCCCAGCCTATTGAACTAACACTGCTTCACCCAATGGCCTAAGGAACCCAGAGCTCCTTGCTTTCCCTCCTCCATGCAGCCTGTCCCCAGGACCGGGCTCCCTGATGTCCAACAAGCTGCTTCTCACATCTCACCTTGACGCCAACAGTTACTATGGTGGGGGTGATGGTGCTCCGGGCGGCAGATGGACTTGTGCTGCATATAAAAACAAGGTGATGCTCTAAATATCTAAGAATATTGGTCCCCTGAAGTGATTCTTGCCGCCTCTTCTTCTCGCTGACCCTCCCCAGTGACCATTTGCCCGTGCCCCTGGCAAGCCCAGGTTACACGAGGACTGCTGTTGAAGGTTGGGATTCTAGACAAAAATCCTACAACTCTTTGCTTGCTAGAAATCACCAATACAATTCTCAGTTCAGCAGATATAGTTTTCCATATAGTTTATAAACATGATAAGACATACAGTTTGGTAAGGGTGTGGGGCAGGGACCTGTGTCTTTGTGTGTATGTGTATATATATATATGTAGTGTGTGTGTATATATATATAAGTGGACGTAGTTATAAAACTGCACCTCCTGTGAGAACCTCATTGCACGGGATGAAGTTCTGAATTTCAGCCTCTGATGATCTTTCCTTTGGTAACTGGTTCTTGGAGCCCAGGGTCTGGGCTGGGTGGACCAGGGTTGCCTGAGACGTCGGGAATGAGAGGTGTCACCCCAGGGAAGGGACGGAAGGTGGCACACTGTTAGATTCAGGGCAGGTTGACTAAGTGGCCTCAGGCGAAAGCCAAAATGACACCCGATCATGCGCTCCCAGTCGGCCGGTCAACCCGGCCTCTTGGGTGACCATCATCTGTTCCTCTGAGTCCCACCTCCTCCAAAAAGGGCAGGGGCCCTTCAGACCTCTCCAAATGGCCAGGATTCCACAGAGCTCAGCTCCCGCGGGGCACTGTCCCATGGCTGCTAGTGAAGGGTGCTCTCTGCGGCTTAACCGCCTTGCTGGATGGATGCTGTCCTGGCTGCTCTGAGGGGGGCTGGCTGGGGCAGCCGGGGCAGCTGGGTGAGGCGTGCTACTCCCCTCCTGCTTGGGGCTGTACACGTTGGGTTTATAATCCACCAGGCAGGACCCAGACGGCAGCCAAAGCCTTCCTCAGACTCTGCCTCAAACCCAGCAGACCCTCCACTTGTAAAAAAAGAAAAGAAACTCTGTTTCTTGGTGGACACGTGGCAGTGCTGGGTGCTGGTGCCCTTGGGTCCTCAGCGGAGGGTGGCCGCCAGCCCCAGTATCCAGGCCAGGATGGAGGCCCCCAGAGAGCTGCTGGAGGAGGCCTGCTGCACCCCGCTGGGGGCACGGATGGGGGTCCTGCGGGCACACTTGCCCTTCCTCTTGGGCCGCGCGGTGGGCATGCTGTCAAAGCTGAACTTGTGCTGGTAGTCGGGGGCGTAGTCCTGCTGCTCCAGCGCCTGCTTCCCGGCGCCCACCTTGGAGACCTGGTTGCGATTCCTGTGGCTGGTGCAGTTCTTGCCTGGCTTCCGAGAGCCGTGCGGGTGGCTCTTGTCCCGGGCGGGGCCGCGGGCCGGGTGGTGCTCCTTGCGCGCGGCCCTGTCGGTGGTGGTGAGCGTGTGAGACTTGATCTGGTGGGGGGAGGCCGGCCCGCTGCAGTTCCGGAAGTCCTCGGCGCTCAGCAGCTTCAGGTCCCGGCCCTGCCGCAGCTCGGGGGACGCGCAGGGGACGGCGGAGCTGGAGCCGCGGAACCTGCGCAGCCATTCCCACAGGGAGCGCGCGCGGCACCCGCAGTCCCAGGCGTTGCCGTTGAGGCGGAGGAACTCCAGGGCCCCCAGCGGGGCCAGGCAGTCGCCCTGCAGCTCGGAGAGGCTGTTGTTGAAGAGGAAGAGGGTGGTGAGCCGGCGGAGGTCGTGGAACGCCCGGGGGTGCACCCACTGCAGCTGGTTCTCGTGCAGCAGCAGCCGGTCCAGGTTCACCAGCCCCCGGAAGGTGTCCCGGCCCAGGCTGCTCAGCCTGTTGCCGTGGAGAAACAGGTGGCTCAGGTTGACCAGGTCCACGAAGATGTCGTCCTGCAGGTACTCGAGGTGGTTGTCCTGCAGGTAGAGGTACTGCAGGCTGTGCAGGCCGCCGAAGAGGCGGGCGGGCAGGGCGCCCAGCCCGCACTTGTAGAGGTAGAGGGCGTGGAGCCTCCCCAGGCCCTGGAAGGTCTCGGGCGCCAGCGTCCGCAGCTGCCGGTTGTCGCCGAGGTCCAGCTCCTCCAAGTGCACGAAGCCCTCGAAGGTGCGGGGGTCGATGAAGGTGATGTTGTTGGAGTAGATCCACAGGGTGACCATGGCGGGGCTGAAGTGGCCCTGCCGCAGGACGGTGATGCGGTTGTTCTGCAGGAAGATGCGCTCGCTGTCCTCCGGGATGCCCTCGGGGATGGCGGCGAAGTTGTGCGCCTGGCAGCTGACCGTCATGGGCGCCGGGTAGCACACGCAGTCCCGCGGGCAGCCGCCGCCCAGGGGCAGCTCGCCGGCCAGCAGCAGCAGCAGCAGCAGCTCCGCACAGCACCCTGGGGGGAGAGAGCACAGCAGGTCAGGGGCTGCAGACCGGGTCGGGGAGGGGAAGACTGGACGGCACGTGACGCTCCTTGGCGGCTGGGGCTCCGTCTCGTCTGCTTCTCGCTCACTTGTCTGGGATGGTGGCCCCCCTGAGGGCCTGGCTCCTGATGGGAGGAAGGCAGGGGCCAGGCCCAAGCCAGCCCCCATCTGGGGCTAGATACTGCTCCCTGCACCCTGGCACCCCACCTCTACTGGGGTTCTCTCCCCAGCCTGGGCTGTAAGGGAAGCTTGGGATGTGAATGGAGGCTCTGATTCCCACACCTCCTCCCTAGCCCCGCCCCTAAACCCTAGCCCCGCCTCCAACCTCCCAGCCCAGCCCCACTTTCCCAGGCCGTCAGCCCTTGGGGTGGGGGTCACACCGCAGCCAGCCTCCAGGTCCTGCCACTTCCTCACTGCTACCTGTGTGAACACACAGTGGGGCAAACTCCTGTCCCCCCGAAGCAAAGATATCACATGGAGTTCTGAGGAGTCTATTTAAATTATTTCCCCAAACAAGCAAAGCGTGCATGCATGACACCAAAGTTGATTTCAGAAGATGTCTCATTTACAGGGCCTCCCACATCCTCAAATAAGTGACACCCCTCACTTCTAAATAGTAACAGTTGTCCCTCGCCCAGCGGTGAAGAGGCACTGAGAGGACCCAGGTGTGCAAAGGCCTGGGGGAGGGACCAGGGCTGGCCGGGCTCTGGGGCCCATGAAGCTCCCAGACAGAGGCTGCCGCCATTCAAGCCCACGCCTGGCTCCTCCCCTCCCCGCCTCACTCTCGCTCCCAGGCTGTGGTTGTAAACCAAGCCATGCCTCGAGACTGTCCGGAGTGTTTTCTCTGTAGCTTCCCTCTAATTGGGCATTAATTAGGCATTCGTTAATGGATCCTTAAAATAATTTATTTTCGGATGCGTCCAGCCTGTGGTCGGATAATAGCCCATGCTCATTATCCGAGCAGCCTCATTATGGACGGTAGTCATTACTTGCCTTTTTCCAGGGTGGCAGCTGCCCCTGGCAGCCCAGCAGGCGCGCCGGTGTTGGGGGGACCGGCTCCAGGCTCCTCACTGCCCGGGTTGGCCTCCTGCCCTCCCCTTCCAGCTTGGCCAGCCCGGCCTCTCAGGAGAGCTGGGGGAGCCTGGGGCAGCTCTGCCGGTTCTTTCTGCTGCTAGCTATGCCCGGAGTGTGCAGAACGAGAGAACCAACCCTCCCAGCCACTGTCCGGCAGGTCCTGCTCCCATCCTCCTGCTGGCCACCCAGCCGGCTCCCAGGCCTGCCTCCGCCCCCACTGCCTGCCCAGGCTCAGGCAGGCCTCTCCACCACTGCCACCCCTCATTTCCGGCAGAAATGGCGTCGTAAATAAGTGACAGCTCCCAGCTGCTGGGAGTTATGGTCTCCCAGAGAGTGGCAGCTGCTTCCCGTCCCCCTGTAATCACCCGGCTTCGACCTAACGTTTCCAACACATAAAAGTCATTGCACACAATTTGGTTTTTGCATAATTGGGTTCGGTTACGACTTCAGAGCAATTATGACCTCTGTGGTGCTGGTGTGGTGGCGGCAGAGCAGCTGTGGGGACCCTCTCCGGGCCAGGCCATGCTCGCTCTCTGCAGCCCTGCAGTGTCTTCAGTCACCGTGACCACTGGGCAGCCTGCAACCTGTAGGCCAGGCCCAAGGCTGGCACACCTCCTCAGCCTGCTTCCCTTTTGTAACATGAGTCAGTGACCCCCATGCCAACCGTGTGGAGGCTTGGGTCTGACATCCAGCCCCCCACTTCCCACCTCAGTCTGGCCCGGGGATCCTAGCCCCACAGGAGAGATAGGAGGGTGAGGGCATAGGAACCTGGACCCCAAATGCCAGCTGACTCTTGCAGAACCTGCCTGCTGCCTTGAACCTCCAACACCCAGGGCTGGGAGGAGGGCCCAACCGCAATTGGCTGCACCTTCCAGAGCCCGACACTTCCTTTCCCTTTGCTCAACTCCACTGACCACCCCTGCCCAGGCTGCTGTCTTCCAGGGACCTTGCCCCAGGGAGGCAGCCCCCACCCTGCCCCTTGGAGGGAGCCCAGGTTCCCCTCCTAGCTCAAGGGAGTTCACGAAGCTCACTGTGCTGAAGGGGCGGGGCCGTGGCCATGAACCTGTGCTTGGGGGACACACAGGGCCAAACCAACCACCCCATCTCGAGGGTTCTGCAAAGACAAAGGCATTTCCTTCCCTTAAGCTGCTCACCATGGGGATGGGGTGAGCTTGGGCAGCTAATGCCACTTGACATTTGTGCAGCTTATGGAGTTGACAGAGCGCTTCTGCTCAAGCTCTCTGGTCCTCAGGATCACC